ATTCTCTTGTGTGGTGAGTGAAGTCAAGAGAGGATGTCACTCCCCACCGTATATAGTTTTTCCATATGGTGGGAACCCTTTGTTTCAAGCCAAGTTCCCAACCCAGTTTCTGGAAAAATACAGGTACCAGAATGGAGTTCAGTGTCATGTGGTCTGCTCTCATGCCCTTGCATGTCCTGCTGAGTCTTAGCAGCCTGTCATGTGGTCACTCACCACACTGGCGCCTCCTGTTGGGTGTTTCAGGAATTAGCTCAGTCCCAGCAGGTGCACCCTCAGGTAGTGGTGGCTCTCCCATCCTTGCCTCTGCCTATAGACCATTACAGCTCCTTTCTTTCAACATCTGCTTTGTGGCACAGCCCTCCGGCCGTCTCACCATCCTGTTTCCCCCTGTTACAGGGGACTCCTGCACCAAGAGTCCAGCTACTCCTCACAGTGGCTTGGCAGTCTTCAGCCAGTCTACTCCTTCAGTGGCTAGTGGGGGCTACGCCCGCCTACTACTCTGGGCCTCGGCCCAGGGACCCTGCAAACAGCAGCTTCTTGCTGCCTTTTCCTTCCAGCTCACTGTCTCTATTCCCCAGGACACTTCTGCGCAGCCTCAAATTCTTCTGCTCCTGCCTCTGGATCCAGCTCTTTTTCCCTCTTCCCAGGGCCTTGAACCTCTAAGTCCTGGCAGCCCACCAGGAGCCTTTCCTAGCTCCCCTGGTCCCTGCTAACACGTGCCCTTCCCCAGGTGCTGGTCTCTGTGTAGCCCTATAGAAAGTCAGTCTTCTCCCAAGGGCTCTGGTCTATCCTGCTCTGGTCTGCAGCTTCCTCTTATATAGGCCAGCTGGGCCCTGGTTGGCTGGTCCAGCTGCCACCCGAATTGTCTGCAGCTGCTGCCTTAATTGGCTGTTTCCCTTGAAGCCCCTCCTTTGACTGCTTGCCACTTAGCGTCCCTAGGCTGGTTTTAACTGGCTCAGGGCCAGCGTGGGGCAGGCACAAAGTCACACAGCAATTACTGATAGGCTGGCTGAAATGTTCACAGGAAGGTTAAGCTCTTCTGTGGTCCATTGTCTTTGTTGATGATCCATCAGCACTGTGTAGCTTCTTCCTTGGTGTACCAGTAAGGCTATTTGTCGGTGTTACCCAGAGTAAGCACCTTTGAAATATAGATCCATAGTCAATATACATAACTTTAGGTACAAAAATGATACATGCACACAAATAGGATAATCATATTCACCAAATCATAACTTTTCCAATGACACCTCACAAGACATATCTTGTCCCAGATGCATCATAATGATCTCATAATCACACCACTATGATTAATATATGGTTCAGCAACATAATGTCCTCTATCGTTAACTTAATGTGGAACAGTGCCTCATATTTGTCACCTAAAAAATGGGTCAGGCATGGGAATTTCCCTCACATCCTCTGCCGTCAAGACCAACGCAAAGAATGGATTTGGCTTCTCCACAACAGTTTCATCTTCCTTGATTGCTCCTTTACTACCTCAATCGTCCAGTGGCCTCACTGATTGTTTGGCAGGCTTCCTGCTTCTGATGTACTTTGAAAACATTCCTGGGGGGCTCAACCCCCAACCCTGCTGCGGTCACTTAGGGCAGGGGTTAGGGTGTCCCCACTCCGGGTACTCTCTCTGCACAGGGCACTTCCCTGACCCACTGATCATTACATACAATTTAAAGCAAATGAAAGTTATTTAATTAACAATTAATTTAAAAAAGAATAAGGAAAAAATGGGAAAGGTTGAAGGAAACACATCACCCCGTTCTGTGGCAGGGAACATCAAAAACAATGTCTCTGGAATGTCAGGGCAGTTCACAGTCTGTTCCTTGTCCCAGGCCTTCTTCTCAGGCCCTGGCTATGCTGCAGGGACGCTGTGGGTTGGACACTTGCTCTGGCGGTGGCCACACACCTCCGGGCTTTGGGTGGTGGGACCCTTCTTCCCAGCATCAGCCCCCCACCGGGTTAAGATCCCCCTCCCAGTCTGGCCTGCAAGGACCCTTGGCTAGGGGTGTCTTTCTGTGCTGCACCCTTTGCCCAGCGTCCCCCCTTGGCTGGTCCCAGTTGATTACCACACCTGGCTCCAGCTCCAGCCCCAGCTCCACTCTGTCTCAGCACTGATGCTGCTGCCCTGCCTCCAGCGCCCACTGGGCTGCTTCTCTGGCCCCTCTGTGTCTGTTTCTGCATCCCTGCTCCCAGCACAGGATCTGCTCTCCCTGGGCTGTGTCTCTGTGTCTGTGGCTGCAGCCCTGCTCCCAGCACAGGTTCTGCTCTCTCCCTGGGCTGTGTCTCTGGCTCTGTGGCTGCAGCTCTGCTCCTGAGCTCAGCTTGGGCCCCTCCTTTCTCCTTAGCTCGGCCCCACTCAGTCTGCCCCAGGCAATTCCATCTCACACGGAGGATGGGACCTACTCCTGACTCCCTGATTAGCCTGCCTGCCCTGTCAATCAGGCTGACCTGGAGCATTGGTCTCTCCCCATTGTTCCTGGGGACTGTCAATCTCAGGGTCCTGATTTCTCATCAACCCTTCTCCTTTTAGTACTGGGAGCTAGCCAACCAAACACCCCCACTGAATGTCAGGAAGGGGCAGTCCCCTTACATTCAGGCATGAGACATGCACACGCTGGGTAAACAAGGCCATGCCCATTCTTAATAGAAAGGGGTGGGACTCAAGCCCAGCTCCAAATGCCTGCTGCTAGCTCCCTATTGGACCTAAATAACCCCCTCCCCCTGATCCTGCTATCCCCAAAGTTGGTGATGATGGAAATTTGGATGCAGGGTGTGAGATCTATCTCCAGCGCTAGAGCAGCTCTCAGTGCTCATGGAACAGGTGGGGGTCAGGATCAGACCGAGGGGCAGCCCAGCAGGGCTCTGCTCGGCCAGGCAACCCTCTCCAGAACCTTCGCTTTCTTAAAGCACGTCCTGATTCCCGCTCTTACTGCCGAGCTGCAGGAGAGGCTCAGAACTCCCTCATCAAAGGGGCTGTGCTAATGACAGGCCTCATCACCAAGGGGTATTGGGAAGAGTTCAGGTTCTCTGCCCACTGCCCCAAATCTGAGAGCTGAAATCTCTCTAAGGCACTTAGCTATGACCTCAACTATTGTAGTGTCTGAGTGCCTCTCAATCTCTAACATATTTAGCAGAACAACACCCCAGCAAGTGATATTAACACCACTGGACAGTGTAGCCCAATCTATAGATGATGAATAAAAAATCCTAGTTATTACTTTGACCCAAGATCAAAGCCCGGTATTATTAAAATTATTATATAGCTGGGGACTGTGACATGCACAGGTGCAACACTCGCATTACAGGAACTCTTTTATATTTATAAATAAATATTTATTAATACATTTAGCAAAGTCACACACACTGTAACTCAGTAAGGTGGACAGATAATACAGAAAGTACAACTGAACATTCATAGTCACACCGTCCCTTTCAGAACAACCTGAAATATTAGCCATCACCTTCCGGTCCCGCCCAAGGGCTATATCGCTCTCTCCTACTGCTCTGGGATGCCACTTTTTCTAATATGTTATGCTGACATTACCATGTCTAATACATATTCAGTAGGGTTTTTTCCCAGGACAGCCCTGGTTTTTCCCATCTTCCTTATTTGTATTTCCTCCTTTTACCAATGTTAAGGTGTCCTTCTTTTATAGGTTAGTGTATTTATGATTTCACCCCATTATCATATATGTCATTTTGTTGCCATGGCACTCGTGCAATTGGATGTTCTGTCCCCAAACCTTCCAGAAGCCGGTGTCGGTTCATGTTCTGTGGTTGGCTGATGTCGTTATGGACAAAATTTCCCCCTACACTCCTCTTGCAGTTCCCCACAACTTTTGAGTTACCAAAGTTTATATATGCCAAAGTTCATAGGTCTCAAGCCTCATGCTAACTGCTGAAGGCAATGTCTTACATGATACAAGCCTGTAAGTTCCTTGTGTTACTGTTGATTATAATGAAGCAGAATATAATGCAAAGCAGTGAATATAATAGAGGTTAGTGGCCCACTGGGCTACAGCAGATCCCAAGACCAGAAGGCACCATTGTGATCACCTAATCTGACCGCCTGTAGAGCATAGGCCAGAGACCTGCCCCACAATAAATCCTAAAGCAGAGCTGTTAGAACAACTTTGATTTAACAATTGTCTCCTTCTGCCTTGATTTAACAATTTTCAGTGCTGGGGATTTTACCACGGTGCTTGGTAAATTGTTGCAATGGTTAATTACACTCACTGTTAAAAAAATACACCTTTGTTCCAGTCTGAATTTGTCTAGCTTCAGCTTCCAACCATTGGATCCTGTTATAACTTTCTCTGCTAGATCGAAGGGCCCATTATTAAATGTTTGTTCCTCATGCAGGTACTTACAGACTGTGATCAAGTCACCCCTTCACCCTCTCTTCATTAAGCTTCTTGAGTCATTATATATAAGGCAGATTTTCTAATCCTTTAATCATTCTCATGGTTCTTCTCTGATCCCACTCCAATTTATCAATTTATCAACATACTTCTTCAACTGTAGAAACCAGAAGTGGATACAGGATCCCCGCAGTGCCAAATACAGAATAACCTCTCTGCTCCTACTCGAGATCCCCTGGTTGTACATAATGGATTGCACTAGCTTTTTCAGATGAAATATCGCACTGGGAGCTCATATTCAACTGATTATGACCCCTAAGTCTTTTTCAGAATCACTGCTTCCCAGGATTGGGTCCCCCATCCAGTAAGGACATGAACTTGGACTGTATAGATCATTGTTGCAACCAAGGTCCTGTAGTGGCACCAAATCTTTTACAAAAGAGATAAAATGAAATGGTTGTAATTTGCTGGTTATAATTATGCTGTCTGTATGTGTGTATCATTTTGTATTTGAAGTTATGAATATTAGCTAGGTACTTGATTCTAAGAAGCATTAGTGAAGCATTTGGTCAGCTTCGTGATTTCGACTCCCAAGTTACCAGCACTGGGTGATGAAGTGACTCTTCACTTAATGAACACCCTGAGTATTCTCGCACGAAGGTGTTTGCTTTTCAAGCTGTACACTATTGGATTAATCAGGGGTGGGACCAGCAGGGAAATGTATCCCAGGAGAATCTGAAGTAAGGGAGAAGAGCCCTTCCCAAATCTGTGTACCACAGAGAGACCGAGCTCTGGTGTGTAGAAGAGCAGGACGGCGCAGAGGTGGGAGATACAGGTGTTCAAGGCCCTGAGGCACTCCTTGAAGGACGCGATACTAAGCACTGTTTTCAGGATCATTATGTAAGAGAGCAAGATGAGCAGCGAGTCCAACCCCATCGTTAGGAGTTTAGCAAACAATCCATAGGTGCTGTTGACACTGATATCCGAACAAGCCATCTTCATGACCTCCTGGAAGAGGCAGTAGGAATGGGAGAGGACATTGGCTCGACAATATTGGAACTGTTTCAGGAACAAGGGGAGTGGGAATACTACGGCAATCCCTCTTAGCACACACACCAGTCCCATCTTGGGTATTTTCGGCAGAGTTAAGATGGAAGCATATCTCAGTGGGTTACAAATAGCAATGAAGCGATCAAAGGCCATCAACAAGAGCACAGCGGATTCAATGCATTGAAGCGAGTGGATGAAGAACAGCTGGGCAAAACAGGCATTGAGGCTGATCTCCCTAGAGTTAAACAAGTATATGCCCAGTATTGTCGGTATGGTGGCTATCAATATGCCAAGCTCTGTGATGGCCAACATGGAAAGGAAAATGTACATGGGTTCATGGAGGCTTGGGTTGGTTTTTATAATGAAGAGAATGACCGAATTTCCTACTATCGAAATAACATACATGAAGCAGAAGGGGATAGAGATCCAGAGATGAATGTCTTCCTGTCCAGGTAACCCGCTCAGAAGGAACACTGCAAATTGAAATTTGGTGCCATTGACAGCTGACATTATGTACTGTGATGGTCAAGAGAGTTTTCAGCTTTCCTTCCTAAAAGGAAAAAATAACAGGAGACTAAATGATATTTAATGAAAATCTTTCTGCTCTCAATGCAAGTGTACAGATGCTTAGGAGCTCAAGGTAGATCAACAAAAACATACTCTTGGATTTACACCAATGATAGGAAGATAGACATTGCCATACTGGATCAGACCTGTAGTTCAGTGGCCCACTATCCAGTGGCCAGTTCCTGATGCTTTAGGGGAAGGTGAAAGTAGCCCTGCAATAGGCAATTGAGAGAATCTGCTCCTAGGGAAAGTTTCCCCAAGACACCCACTAGTTGGACATATTTTGTGGCGTAAATCAGGAAGGTGTTTAGCCCTACCAAGACTTCTTCTTCTTTTTTTAAAATCCTTATTATTGTAATTGAAATTTTTGGTTACCCATAGAAACATCCAATCCCTCTTTGAATCCGGCTAATATCTTGGCCCCATCAATATCTCGTAGCTGTGAGTTCCGCAGCCTATTTGACAATTGTATAATTTTAAAATTATGACCTTCACAGAGACACCCCTTCTGTCCCTCCACTTCTGAGTGTGGTCTATTGTATCTTGACATGTGGTAAGCACACGGCAAATGCATGCTGAAAAGGATCACGTCCTTCATTGAAGCTATTTCTAAATGTGTTTCATTGCACTATTAACTATCCTATTTATTTTCCCCACACCTGAGAGTCCAAATTATACCACTGCCTCTTTCCAGAAGATGGCATTAATATTTAGGGCCAGATTCTTAATTCAATAATATTGGCTCCAGATTTACATGTGTAAATTAAATCAAAACCAGGTCTATTAACTTTCCCTTACATAATCCTCCTGCTGATACACTCTGACCCCCATGAATCTCTCCAAGAGAAGCTGAAGTGCTTTGCCTCTCCATTCTTGACTCAATCCAGAGAAGATGATCATCCTACAGAGTTCTTTTCATCCTCACATGAACCACATCCTCTCCCCATGCAAGGGTCTGTAGATATCTGGCAAGTTACAAGCTAACACAGACAGTTACTTTATCTGGGTGAGAGAGGGATTGGTGTCGCAAATGGGTGAATAGTACAAACACTGGTGTTCCACTAATGTGCAATTGAGTGTACAAGTTACTTCAGCAGTGCTCCTGTAACAGGTGATGAGTGTGAATTACTTACTACCACTATTACACTCCCCTTTCCTGCACCTCAATTCTACTCTTTTCTGAATCATTGACCAGCGGTTCTGTTCTCTCATAACTTTTTGGAAAGACTTGTACAGGTATTGCAGAGGGATTGTGTTCATGACCCTGGATGTAAGCTTCTGATCAGGAGACAGTATCATACAACTGTTCACTGAACAAAGTGTTAATAGCACAAACCCATTGCATACAGGTTTCAGAGTAGCAGCCGTGTTAGTCTGTATCCGCAAAAAAGAAGAACAGGAGTACTTGTGGCACCTTAGAGACTAACAAATTTATGAGAGCATAAGCTTTCGTGGACTACAGCCCACTTCTTCGGGTGCGGGCTGTAGTCCA